ACCCCCCCCCCCCCCCCCCTAAAAAAATAAAAATAAAAAAAAAAAACCAGAAAAAGTAATGGGAAACATCACTATAAAAGCTGTTCCTGTGGAACACTTTCGGTAAAAGTAAGGTGGTGGAGCAAGCAATGCCTCTCGCACTGAGAACATAATTACTGTCTACGGACTGGGATTGCAGTGGACCTTGTACAATTCCGGTGGCCAGTCCAATTTTTGGTTCGGGTGGGATGTATAGGATTTTAATATACGTTTCATCCTAAAAGTCAATTCAAATTTGCATCAGATTAATTGGATATTGATTGATTGAATTTTTTTTTAAAAATTAGAGGTGGATTCACATCATTATAAGGACAAATTTGATCCAGATTCGTTGAAAGGCCTAGTGGGATGCATTGCACAAATACAGGAATCACTTTTCTACTGACGAAATACTTGTCTGCGAATATTAATCGCTGATGATTCTCTGTAGCTGCTCATAAATTTTCCGTTATCCAATTGGCCACTCAGTGTCTGGAGACACGCATCCTTTTTTACGTGCCATTTCAGTGCAGAATGTGTTTTCCTGAAGAAGAAGTAGACCAAGGCAGACAAGACGATAATGGACAGTGTCAAGGCCACAATAAGTAGGGCCCACTGAAGTCACGGTTCCAACAGAGCAGAAGACCTTCCCTCAGGAGAGAAGCATGAGGTATGATCTTGTTTCATAGTCATTGTCATTGCCCGAAGCTACTAAAATTAGACCTCAATAATAATATCTAGATCATGTTGTGCTTATCCAACGACTTCAAGAACCTGGCTTACCACCCAATGGATAAGAATTTAATTTTTCTTGTTTAATACTTGAGTTTAAGTCTTCACAATTATATTAGTTTGGTGGAGTTAAATTTATTCTTTAGCATTCAAAACACGCGGTGAAACCTTAATTTTCGGTCTCGATGTAGGTACGGTAAGATCTTTTGCAGATAATTGTATGGTGTTGAGGGTAGTGATCCCTAATTCATATGTAGTGTGACTTATTTGAATATCTATTTTTTGTACTAAAAAAAACAAAACTGTGACTTAACAATAACTTGAAATACAGGTTTAGAGCAAAAAAAATATCACTGATTGTAAGTGGATGATAGAAAACAGGCAAACATGTCACTTAATAAATCCATCTTCGGATGCATTATGTACATATATCATTAGAAATCAATTTTAAGCAACAACTTGGACACAAGCTATTTGAAACTAGGAACACCCTCATTATAATGGCAGGTTTTTTTTTTTTTTTTTT